TGACACTGATTAGATGGCGGATGGAGGGTACACAACGTCGATCAGCAGTGTTGCCATGCTATCCTGTTGGGATGCATTAACCGCCTGTCAGGATCCACTGACAAGCATTTTGGAACATGTATTAGTATCGCCTTCGTGAAGAAGCTGCATTTGCTACTTGGAGACTTGACGACGCCCATCGAGAACTATTTCGGGTGCCTCAATCAATTGAGGCCATCGCTCAAGTGCGTAGTGCTAGGCTGTCGTCAACAACGAGCAATTTCTCCCAACATCTCCCATTAAATATCACTAGATTATTGTCGTAACGATCATTTCGCAACGGATCGTGTTTGTCGACGGACGGATCGATTTGAAACAAATAAAAACATCGAGAACGGTGTAGATTTATCACTATGACTGAAACTACTCAATATTTTGAAATAGCTCTTCGATAAATGTAGTAAAGTAAGTTAGCTTTCAGTTAGGTTAATTTCACCGAATTATACGATCTGTACAATCAGTTTCGGATAGAAACTTTACCGAAGCAGTAGAATAGTAGAAATAAAGTAATACACTATGATGTTTTTTTTTGTTCAAATACACTGCTCCTGTAGTAGATATCGATGATGAGTTTTGATTCTTTCAAGTGGCACAAGTACTCGATAGTGATCAAAGAACTGCTCGAGACTCACTGGTGTAGAATTCAGCATTAACGTCAATTGAGCTTCAAAGAACCAATGTGAGCAATAAAGTTAACGATTATTGGGCTTCTTAAGTGAAGACACGAGTGATCTTTGTTCCAATCCCGTAGCAAACAAGATGTACGATACAGGACGACTAGATCGGTTAAAAGGTACATAGCTAACACTCGATTCGTGGCGCTCCTCTGAGGATACTCATGACGCTTTTCGGACGTCTCCTAGTCCAAGTCAAGTATTAGCTGAAACTATGTTTGCTATCTAAGTAAAAACAAGGAAATATGGCGTGTCGATAGACCAACAAGGAACGTCCTACTGACGTTGTTTTTCTTTAAAAACAAGACTCTACACGCGCAAATGGTGAACAATCATCGGGCGATTTACATTTTTTTATTCGATAACGAACTAGTTCTAAGGCAATATGTCACAGACACAGACAAATACGAAATCAGATGTGAGCCTCCACGGTATTTCCCACGTAAAATCAGCTTCGTTTGGTAGTGGTTATTAGGTTAGGAGGGTCGGCTGAGCCCTTCAACAATGCAACAGTCCTGAATAAACGCTGTAACGAAGCACAACAAAAGTGGGTTATCAAACACAATTTGACCCGGTCATCGTCGAACCCCAACTGAGACATAATAGCAAAAACAGATTTGATACAAAAATAGGCTAACAAGCTCGTTGGTGAAAGTATCTGTTTGCATGCTCGCTTATTTTCGATGCCAGAGCACGCAAAACTATTATACTGATACAAAATAATTCCCTTAAATTAGGTCCGAAGAGCATTTTCGATTTTTTTTTTGGTAGGACATACGCTTAATTCGTCGATATTCCCAGCTAAGTAAGGCCATAGTTCGAACAGAAGGTTTGACCGTGAGCAGCGAACTTGTGGATAATTCTTATAGAAAAATACGATACAGTAACGCTTTTTTCCCTCGTTTAATGAAATTAGGTGTGCAGTATCTAGCTGCTGTACGCGCTAGCTAAATTTCGAGTGGTTACAAATTAGCAGGACATCTTAAGTTAACCTGTATACCTGATGTTGTGGATAGCCTACATCTAAAATTCCGAGCCTACTCGAGGTGCTCAAAGCGAACATTTTCGAATGCTCGTTTTCAGGTTACGCACAGAATACGGGTCACCTTTTGATCGTGCTGATAATGTTGACTACGATTGTTAAGCATGACTAGATATAGGAACAAAACATACCGTTAGCAGACAGCTAAAGCATTTTTATTTAGATGGGTTAATACAGTCATTATCTTTTTAAACATTTTAGTGTTTTCAACGGTATATTTTTTGTGTGAGCTCAAAGCTACTCACCAAAGATTAGTGGAATATATAGCATAGATCGAGTATATATTGTGAAACTGTACTTATAGTTTCGATTTTGTAAAGTTTAGTTCAGTTTCAAGTTTTTGATAAACTTAACTTGTTCTATAATTGCTAACATTGTACAAATTCAACACCTACTTTATTACAACACCTACTTATAAACAAATGGTCGCCTCTATTTACACATAGTTCTTAAAAACAATCGGCCATCTTTAGTGGACGATCTTTTTAGTGAACTCTTTAGGAAAATACTATCATTTCGGCTACGTCGCCTGAATATATTATATTGCCTTTGATCTTATAGTAATTCTTACCTCTTTATGCTAACTTTTCTGCGTCTGATACTTAAAATTTGCAATTGATATTATTTTGTAGAATATGATCTTCATTTCATATGATCTTAATTTGTAGAATAGGCGGTCTGCCTTTTCGAATAGCTATAAAACAGGACGCTGTGTTAGTGTTGAAAATGTCTAAACAAAGCTGATCCAAGTGTGCCTTATATCGCACGTCGTCCTTTAATGATTCTTGTAGCTTTCCGATGGGGATGTGCTTTCCAATTTCGAGCGTAAAGGAAGAACGTAGTATAAGAAATAACTCACATGCGGAAGGAAGAATTGGTAGTGGAAAACCGATGTAGTTCGCTCTAGATAATTAAGCTGAAGACTATCGGAGACTTGGGCTAGGAGCCAGTCAATAAGGGAATCTCAAAATATTTCCGACTGAAACATGCGTCAGCATATTGACTACAGATTAATAATCAATCCGGAATATAATCTATGGACAAAAAGGTTTTAAATATAACTGCTACTCTTTTTTAAAAGTATTAACAGATATTCCAAATGATCTATACAATCTACCGGTGATATTAGGGGGCAGTTTATTTATTCGGGTATTCATTTTCATAGCTCTAATCGCTGCTTTTTCTTT